CGACGTTCTGCACCGGTACCATTACCATTACCATTCCAAGGTATAGCTGTCCTCCCTACCCTCTCCCCCTTTCACTTCACCCATCGTCATTCTCGCCCATCTTTCTGTCTACAACAGCTGGTGAACCGCATTTCCAAGTTGACTAAATAAAAGTAAATCAACAATTGACCATCTTCGAAAAATCGGAAAAAAGGAGTTGCCTTTTTCCTATATTTATTTTTCTATTTCCTTCCCTATCTTATCTTTCTTTTCGTTTTCAAATATTAGTTTTAAATTATATCTTACAACAATTATTTCGTAACATAAATATTGGATAATATGAAAGGATAAGAAAAAAAGTAAAAAGAGAATATTAATTTTTAATAAAATATACTTATAAGAAATTATTCTGTAAAATTATTGTATAATCCACAATTTTGGATATAAGATACCTTTCTAACGTGTCGATAGTTAATATAAAAAATATGAATTATTTAATTAAGAATATTTTTTCTACAATTATTTGAAATGGTTTTTAATATGATTTATATAAATCTTTATTTTAATTTAATTATCCGAAAAGATTAGCTTTAGATAATTCTGTTATACATATAATTTTTAAATTTTAAATTAAATTTAAAATTAAAAAATATAGATATTACTTGAACAAAATCTCTATTTCCTGTTTTACTTGAACACCTGCCTATAGAAATTAAACAAGATATAGTTTTAATTTTTTAAATTTTCAAATTTTTTAAAAAATTAAAACTATTTTTTGTTTAATTCCTATAGACAGGTGTTCAAGTAAATCAGGAAATAGAGATTTTGTTCAATTAATATCTATATTTCTTAATTTTAAATTTAATTTAAAATTTAAAAAATATATGTATAACAGAATTATAAAAAATTATATAAGAAAATTACAGTGAACACAATCCGTTATTTATATTATTACGAAAAAGATTCCTTTCGTAAATCACATCACGTTTAAAAGATCCTCGAATTTTATGATGCCCAGCAAAAGAGAATCGTTTGGTGAAACGCGCACCATAAAAGCAAGTCGTTAATACCAATTGCTGTATAAGCAATTGTATCAATAATCACGGCTTTCTCATCGCATCAATTTCGTATTCGAAACCGCTTTTTGACGATCCACTCGTTTGCAAAAACATTGAACCATTAAATTTGTTAATAATAAGAGATTTTGTATAAAAAAATACATATTTTTATACATTACATTTATATCGAATATCGTATAATATTTTCAAAATGTATGTATAATATTTTAGCTCTCAAAATTAATTTTTTTAAATTTACATCTCCACAGAAAAAATTTGTTTTTTATACATAAATATTTATATAAATTTATATTTCAAGAGAATTTTTGTGATATTGTGATTTAAAAATAATAAATCGCATATATATTAAATTTTAAATATTTTGTCGTCTAATGGAACATAATAAAAGAAAATAATTTTGCATTTTATTATTTATTCGCAGAAATGGACATAAAATCACAAATAAAATGTGATTATCGAAGCGCAGTTTTCATCAATTATTATAGCATACATTTTTTGGAAAATAAAATAACAGCAGATGATATCAGTATTGATGTAAAAAAATTAATAAAATTTATTCTCATCAAATGTATCTTAATTAAATACGCCTGCAGATACTGGACAAAATTATTAAATCATATTATTTTAATAATTAATTTATTGTACGTTTTTTTAATTATATATAAACATTATAATAAATAAATAATTAATAAATAATAAATAAATAATGTAAATAATTATTTCATTATTTCAATAAATATTTAATAATTATTTTGATAAATACTTGATATATAAATATTTTACTATTTATGCAAATCATTAAATGTTTTATGTATTAAATATATTGTACATATATATATAAATATAAATATCTTTCAATAATTTCAATTCTCTCTGCATGCGTTATCATGGGATTGAATATACATTTAAATTACGAATAAATTTTTTGCTCGTCAATTAAAATATTGCAGTTACTCTACCTGTTGCAAATCCGCCTCTTATAAGGGCTATCAGGGACAAGGAGCGCACATTATCGGACGAATTTCAATATAAATTGACTTCGCACATTTCGCTTTGAAGATACGCGAAGAAAAGTCTCGAATTATTAACACTTTGCGCGCACATAAATAATCGAATTCACACACTTACTATTAGCTACCGCACATCGTACACGCGTTCAAAGAACTGTCACCAGTTCCGTAACGTGTAGAACGTCAAGTCGTAATAGACTGAAGGGGGGGGGGAGGGTAGTAACGCCGGCGCTTGCTTCCCCCACCCCTTTCCCTTTCCCCTCCCCCTGACTTGCTGCTCGTCACGAATCTGTTTTCACCGGCGTTAACGGACTAACCTGCGTTTCTTTTTGTTTACTTGCAATACTGAAAATCTAATAATGTAAATTTATAGACTTCCGGTATTGCCTGGCAGTAAAAAAACAAACCAAGTCTAGGTCGCCCGAGGTCAAAGATGCAAGTCACGAATCGCGATCGGCGAAACGCTATCGATTGCGAAGACTCGCGGCACTTGATACGTTCCGGTGATCGTTCGTCAGTTTAATCGACACTCCCGATCGAGATTCACGCACATTACGCACTTAGAACGGGTAAAATCCGCGATTGATTGCGGAGCGATCGCGCTCCGTGCCGAACCCGTTCATCGTCGCCGAAACTGTCATGGCGGCCGAAAATGCGCGGGATTGAGTTATCGCAACATTGAAAAAATTTCGACGAATGACTGAAAAAATGCGATAAAAATTAAAACGCGGCATTTTCATCAATTGCTACGATTGACGGCATTTTATTCGACATTCTTAATAAAGGTTCAAACACGTACATTAATATAGATGCGAGAAATGTGAAGAAGAATGCAATTTTCGAGTTTATTCAAATTTTAGTTAGCGCTTAAATGTTACTTGAGGCTGCGTTCCGAAATGTACCGCAAATCTATAGTGTATGTACATGACGTGAACTATAGGATTTTTGGCAGTGAATATTAGAACGCACCCTGAATAATCGTGAACACGAAAATCAATTAAATGCATACAAATTTATTTTAAAGAATATATATAAGAATATATATGTATATATATATATATATATCGGCCATAGGGCGAAAATTGCGAAAATTAATTTTTTCGCTAATTAAGAATTAGTATCTTTTGGTTAAGATCTCTAACTCCCGTATTCTTTTTTTAACACCCCTGTAAAGAAATAGGTGAGAAAAATATCGAGGAATACGAGAATTAGAAATCTCAAGCAAAAAATACTAAATAACTTAATTTTCGCAATAACATCGCATTTGGCTTTATGGCCGATATATATACCTGTATATATATGTATATATATATATATATATATATATATATATATATGTATATATATATATATATATATATATATATATAATGTATGGATTTCGAGAGTCGATAAATATTCTTAATATTCTTAATATTCTTAATATTCTTAATATTCTTAATATTAATTACTTCCCATACAGCACAGATTATTGCAATTATATTGCAGCAATGTTGCAATGTTGCAAGTTGCAATGCAACATTATAAAGACATTGCAGAGATATAGGTGCACAAAATTCCAGCACACTTGTAGCAACATGACATTAATATTTCGGAAATATTGCATGTAATCCAAATTCTATAATTTATATATTGTAATATATATAAATTAATTACAACGTATTTTCATTAATGATTTATTTACATTTATATACCTGTATATGCAACATTAGTTTATGGTTGCAATAACAATGCATTATTGCAAATTCATAACATTGCAATATTGTTGTAATATTTTGTTGCAATCTTCCAAAAAGCGGACATTTTAACATTGCTGCAGTTCAACAGCAATGATGTAGCAACATTTTGCAGTGAATTTGCAATATTGCAATATTGCGGTGAAAGATTGTTGTAATGTTTTGCAATCTATCGGTGCTGTATGGGTTATATTCTAGGAAAGAGATAGATAATAATTTATTTGTAAAATATCGTGAAGATAATATATAAATTAAAAAATTGAGATAAATATAATTTAAAGTTTTGAGATAAAATAATATGTTAAATAAAATGAAATGTTTCGTATTGTTACATATTTAATGTTTTTAAAATAAATGTGTATGCATTTCATTGATATTCGTGTTCACGATTATTCAGGGTGCGTTCTATAATATTCACTGCCAGAAATTCTACAGTTTACATCATAGGTATATATATTATGTATAAGTTATTAATTTAAAATTATTAAAATAAATATAATTATAATGTGAAAATTGTGGATATAATCTTGAGTTTGAGTTATTCTTTCTATTTTTTTTCATCAATCTTTTTGTCTCATAAAAATTACAATAAAGAAATGCAAATCATTTATGTGGCGCCATCTAAAGGGAGCGCAAGCTACTCTTTAGTACTTGTTGCATATGTAAATAAACACAAAAGAAATGCGAAATAATATTTTGATAGGACATAATAATATTAAATATCCGTATAGTTAATTTTAATTTTTTCTTAACAATTAAATTAATTCTATAATTATTCTATTGTTTCAATAAACAAAGGTATATATACATTTATACATAGATATAGAAACATAATATTTATTGCATAATTGTGTTATCATCTACGCTGAAATTGGTTCTTATTTCAGCCACCGAGAGGACGTTAGTGCATGGTGAACAATTTTTTTTTATTAATTAAATCTCATAAGTAAACAATAAATCTTCATTATCTCGTATGACAGTTGCACAAGATCGCTCCAAAAATAGCATGTAAATTCGACAAACAACGAATATGAGTCACCCAGCTGCTTATCATCCCAAAAACTCGATAACGTGCTGTCAAAGTATAAATACATAAGCGCAATATGTTTTTATCGCGCAGTGCCTTTCGTGAAGACGTAAGTTCTTTTTTTCTCTCCTGCAACCAAACCCCGCGTTTCATCTCGCCGCCCGCGAGCCGTTTGACATTTGCGAAGCGCGGAGGCGTCAGCTGATGACGCGGCGTGTCGCCGCGCGACATGTGACCCGCTTTGAAGTCTCATTCGTGCGTGCATCAATTACCGTGCGAGCGGCCTCGCGACTCATTACGCCCGCAGTCGGTTCCAGAACGTCCCGCTCATTAGCCGTGAGATACCAGAGAGGCGCGGCAGGTTATGTCGCCGTGTTTATAATCGTCGTGATCAAATTGATCCGCGCTCGCTCTTTCTCTCTCTTCCTCCCTCCCTCCCTCTCTCCCCCTCGGCGGGCTTCAGGCAGGCGGGTATACGCCTGAGCGAAATATGAGAAGGATACACGTCGTGACATCGACTGGGATAACGGCCGAAAAATTCGCAGCCGAGCTATTGCGTCGCGTCCACGAGTTAATTAAATAACGGCCCAAGGTTCGCATCTCTCGTATCATCTTTTTTTCTTTTCCGCTTTGTGTGTGTCTCTCTCTCTCTCTCTCTTTTTCGTCTCGTCTCGTGATGCATCCGCGCAGACGATCGAAAAAGAGCGAAAGTGCCTCCGAGAAGGTGGTATCCTAAGTGTGCGTCGCGATCGATTTCATGCGTGACGCTTTTTCGTCAAAAGTGGTACGGCGGCGAAACCTTGTCCTATTTCTGTAATTCGCGCGTGTGTATGTGTGTACGTAAATATATATTATATATATATATATACATATATATGTACATAATATGTTGTATAGTGGCGCGCGAGATTACTCAGCTGACATTCGCGCGTAATCGCGACCGGTTACGAATCTCTCTTGTGACCTTGTTGAATGTGCGTTTGTCGTTGCATTGTCGCGGCTGCATCGTTTTTGTTTATTATAGCTGTCAATTTTGTATGGGATGCGTATAAGTGTATATGAAAAGCTTTCACTTTATTATCGATCTTGAGAATAGATGCTGAGATATGATCTGATTTATCTGGATTAATTTAATCAATTCTTGTGCGAATGCAAATGACAAAATTTAATAGATTAGTCCGAATGTATATATTAATTTTTTTCTAAAAAGATTATAATTACGGAAATTTAATGTTATCGAGATTTATGCATTCAAAATTTAATATATAAAAAAAATTAAATATATTTTAATATATATTTTCTCAATAAATTAAAATGTTCAAAGAACAAGTTTAAAAACTATTACAAATTATCTGATTGTCTAAATAGCTTAAATCAATCCAATGATTCATTAAACTATAATGTTGCAATAATAATTTGCAATAATATTAACACTAATATGTAATACTAACTCTTGAATTAATCATCTACTTATCTGTGCAACATATATAGATCAAACTTCTGATATCTTGAAACTTACAAATACTAACTGATGGATTCATTTTCATAATATAGAATATTTTAATCATTCATTCACAGAATACACGTGTTATGAGTGTTGGTTTATCCATGTACGATGGCTTGGAGAGCGAGAGTACTCCTGATAATGGCCTTGATAGCACCGGGAGTACAGCAAAAAAACTGGCTAGGGGTATCTCCCGTGCAACTGAAAATGCAGCAATTGTTTCTTATGCTCGTTCACAATTGGCAACCGTAGGAGCTCTTGATACGCCAGAATTTACATTTTCATTGCCAGACTTATCTGTGTATCCAGGTACTTTTATGAATATCATACAAATCTTGATTATCTTGATTAACATGATATTTCTTATCCTTTTTAGATCCATTTCGCAAGTTCTTGGAGAAAGATCTCATAGAGAATGGATGTCTAAATTCCTTGGAAGCTGCTGGTCGTTTAAATTGGTGGTACAAAAGTGGAAGCACCAGAATTCTGTGGCCACTGGCAACATCTGGAGATGGCAATTGTTTGCTTCATGCTGCATCGTTGGGAATGTGGGGTTTTCACGATAGATTACTTACCTTAAGAGAAGCATTGCATGATACTTTGACCAAAGGAGAATATAGACATGCTTTGTTTAGGTATTTTTATTAAAAGATATTAATCTTAAAAATAAATAATGTATGAATATGTATATGTATTACATACATATCTTTTAGGCGATGGAAATGGTGGCAAACGGGCGTAAATGCAACTGCTGGATTATCATATACAGAAGCGGAATGGTTATCAGAGTGGCAAAGTATAGTAGATATGGCTTCTCCTACCATTAGAAATCAGACCCCTGCCCCTGCCTCTTATCAGAGCCTCGAAGAGGTACCACAACATCCTCCGATCTCTTTATCCATTATAGATAATTTTATTTTAGGAATTTTACTAAGTCTACTTTTGTTTTAGATACACGTTTTAACCTTGGCCCATGCTTTAAGAAGGCCTATAATAGTTATAGCAGAAACTATGTTGAAGGATGCTCATGGAGTGGCTTTGGCACCAATTCCATTTGGTGGAGTGTATTTACCTTTGGAAGTGCCACCTTCACATTGTCATAGAACTCCTTTACTCCTGGCATATCATTCTGCTCATTTTTCACCACTTGTGACTGTAGACGGATGCAATGATTATGGCAGTGCATGTGGCGAAGGTGTTAGTATACCACTAGTGGATCCAGATACGGGAAAATTATTGCCGGTCTTGTTTGCTGTAGATCCTGGCCCTGACTGGGATTGGGTAGATGGTTCGCGAGAGTTGTTAGCTTGTACGCAGGATACTGTATGTAAATCATCTTGTATATTTATTAACAAATGTTGGAAAAATAGTTTCTATTATTATAGTGAAATAATGGAGCTATTTTTATTTATTGCAGATGGAAATCTTACTGCGACAGTATTTAGATTGCGAGTATCAAAGTTTTACATCGGAAGATATTGATAGACTTTCTGATACAGATGGTTCTTTATCAAAAACAGCAAAGCAACTTTTAGAAGTTGCGAAACAATTTGGTTCCATTGGTAAATCTGTCAGTAAAAAAATATGGTCTATGACTAATAAGAGGCCAAAAAGCCCGCCTTCCTCGAGCGGCGGAATTTCCACAGAAGGTTTGTTGTGTGTGAGGATAAAGAGTAGACGTCATCAGTTTGTGGATCAAATGCTTCAGAATTACCTTCAATGTGCCCATGCAAGGTATATATACGAGTATATATACGAGTTATGCAATTTTCTTGTATTAAAGGAAGATTACATAGATTTTCTTTATGGTTGTATAGATATTTGCAAGATCATCAAGTGGACGATACGGGTAGCGAATTAAATTATGGTGCTGGAAGGTCCAAATTTTACGCTGCCAGTGATCGCGGTAGTCATGCGAGCGTTAGCAAATTATTACCCACTAACACAAATAAAGATCATACGCTTTATCTTTCGAGGTAAAATTGTGAAATGCAAATTAGCTTTTAGCTGATCGTCAAGAAATTCCGAAATCCTTAAATCAAAATATTCTTTTCATAGATCCACATTTTATAACGATCAAACTTCGTCAAATAATATGGGGCCAGAGATTTGGAACAATAGTGACGATTTAAAGGTATGTTGAACAACTTTTAAAAGGAATAAAATATATATTTTTTTTTAATAAAATTATTATTTATACACAGGGCACTGTGAAGGAGTGCCGCAGCGAACACTGCCAATTCTTTGGATCGCCAGAAAACGAATACTATTGCTCGAAGTGCTGGGCTAATCGAAGTTAGGCAACCGTCCTTAATCATACATGACAATAATCTCGATTTAATTTTGCTCGAATTAAGTTATTAAATAATTAATATAATGCTAGAGATATAAGATATACAAGTTATAAAGCTTATAAAAAATGTCCCACCAACCTATCATCAGTAACATTACGCTGGTCGTTTTTAATTTTGTTTCTTTTTTCATGTTTCCTTGTATTTATTAACATTTTCCATCTGAAAACATATCAGATGCACAGGGTTCAAGTAAATACGTTTATAGCATATTTTTAAAAATGCCTAGTCGCATTTTCAAGTGATAAAAAATTTGTAACAGAACAAAAGTTTTTTGTTTTTATTTTTTTTTACAAATTTAATGTCGTGCCTTCTCTCGTGTATGCACGGAATGAAAGATGTTAAAATACTCCTTTGTATTATGATAAAAACCTTTACTCACAACTACCTCCACAATTTTCGATTATAGAATGTGGTCGGTATATATAATTATTAGTATTTTATAATTATTTGTGGATTTTTCCAAAGGTTGATGCGGAAATATTATATTTATAATCTCATTGTCCTGTGCAATTGCTGTGTATGTAAACTGCGTGAAAAATAAACCATATTTTTCTATATGTCGAATCATTATTTACTATCGTATAGAAAAGAATAGAAAGTTAGTTAATTAAAAAGATACACAAACCCAGTATTTTGCCATAATAAAATGTATTTACATATATTTCCTCGCATTAGCCTATCATCATGTGAAAAAGGTCATAATTAATAGTAAATGATTAATATTATCTAACGCATTATCTATCTACCTACCTACTTACATTCACTAAAATATCGCCAAAGCGTGTGCGGTAATATAACGTTAATTTCATTAATAATTGTCTGAAGAAATCTTTTGTTGGCATGTATATACAAAAAAAGGAGAAAAAGAATTATCCAATATATAAATTATGTCAATATTCAAAATTTTTGTGTGATTCTTCTTATTAAATAGCTAGAAAAAACAAAATAAGAAAAAGATTACAATATATATCGAAGGAACTAGGGGAATAGTTATACTTTAGCTACGATACTACTACAAGCGCAGAGTATGTTTAGACGCTATAGTGAAATTTAAATGTTCTTTTATCTTTATTTTATCGTTTAAACACTTTCAACATCCCACCTCTTGGTCTTTCAATGAAATAGCTAATAAAGAAATAAGTAAAAGAGTACCACTTATTATATTTCATGTCTTTAAAATTGAGTTTCATGTACTATTTACAATTTCAGTCATACGAGCACAGATACACTACCACAGAGTCGATTAGCTGTATCCGATATATCCTTCTTACTTAAGTGATAAGCTTACATTTAACCAATTTTATCTGGAAAGCTTTATTCTCTCGTGAAAAAATCATATTTAATAAGAAGAGATCCTCTAAAGAAAATCACAAGCTAAAGTAACTTTGTGGCTGTAATATTATGCGCGTATAAGCTTCATCAGAAGTTATGTTTCTCAAGACACTTATAGTGTTATTCGCAATTAAAATTAAAATGTTTGTAGCAAAACTGTTATCCGTTTCTAAGAGCTATAATTAGGTTTGTCGTTATAAACTCGCGAAGAGATAATTAATATATTATTGTTAATTTCACTTTATAATTGCAGCCAAATCCATAAGGCAAAAATATCGAAACTATTACATCGACGCTCGATATATGTATGCACGTTCATATACAAATAATTATAATTAACGATTATCAATAATATAGATTCTAGAGAGTATGTGAGAGAGGCGAAATTTATTATTAATAATTTTTAACAGGTCTCTTCTTCGGCAGCTTATTTTTTTCTCTTACTCCTATATTGAATTCTTCTCTCCTGACAAGGTTTCGTTATACGATTTACGTGTTTACATTATAATAAATAATTGTCCAAAACAAAACGCAAATTTTTGTTATTCAATGCAAATTTTAGATGCAAGTATTACATTTAGGATCAATTGATGTACCATTTACAACTTTGCACATGGCGTGAAACTAGATGCCCAATATAAAGTCGAATGTGTACTTAGAGTACATACATATGATCATTTTTATTATCGAACGTTTTTAATTGCAAGGTAAATCAATTGGTCCATTTTCTATTTGAAAGATTCAAGTGCCAGCCACAACACAACAAGCAAAGTGCTCCTATATATTCATAGTACTTATATCCATACCGTAGCACATATTGCTTAAGTTAAAGAGCTTGTAAACACGGAATTCTCTATAATTTCATACAACTCTTATATTATATTATTAATCCTCTAATTTTTCTCTTTTTAACTCTTGCGCTGCCAAAATTGGACCATTTTCTTATCTGAGATTACTCTTAATTTTCTTATGCCTGTCTTGTGTCTTCTAAATTTCTCTTCGTAAAAGGAAGTTTTTTATGACACATTTGTAACATATACATAATTATAATATATAAACACAATGCAGATATAATTTAAATTTTTTAAACATAACAAAATATAAAAACAAATAAAAATTTATTATATAAGTGGTCGAATTTTCAGTGTATATTCTATAAATATTTCAGCAGTGCGAAAGTTAAGAAACATTATCTTTCATAAACCATCGATAAGCAGACAATTCGCATCATTTCACATAATAGAACTTAAAAATTATGAAAACAAGTAGTACATAGATTTATATGATTATCTCAATTTTCTTTATTTTTATACAAAAAATAAAAACTTATAACAGACTGTAACGAAATCGATTCGCTTCAAAGAAACGTATTATAATTGACGATGGCTTAAGAAAGACGTATGTAATTCTTTATTTACATCGTTTTTGGAATTCTTGGTTCTTTTGCCAAGAGAATGCCTACTTTAATTTTTGTAGCGCATCCTGAAGAGAAGATAGAGAGAGAGAGAGAGAGAGAGAGAGAGAGAGAGAGAGAGGAGAGAGAGAGAGAGAGAGAGAGAAGAGAAGAGAGAGAGAGAGAGAGAGAGAGAGATGAGAGAGAGAGAGAGAGAGAGAGAGAGAGAGAGAGAGAGAGAGAGAGAGAGAGAGAGAGAGAGAGAGAGAGAGAGCGAGAGAGAGAGAGAGAGATCCGGTTTAGAAGCTCGTTATTTATTAATCTATACAGAACTGATATATATAATAATAATAATAATAATTAGCGGTTCGGGTTTTTATTATATTATTTAAGAAATGGATCACGATTCTCCGTTGCCACTATCGTCGCCATCCTCGTAATCCGTTGCGCTTAGCTGCTCGTCCTCGTCGTCATCCAACTCATACTCGTCATCGTAGAAGTCCGTCATGTCTAGCTGTTGCTCAGCTGGCCTCGCTCGAGTCTTTATGCAGTAATCTTCCAAAGTTACGGGTACGACAATACCTTCCTTTTCGGCTTCCATCTTGGCAGCTTGGGCTTGTTTCCTATATAAATAGAAATATGTACAAAATATATATTGACAAAATACCTACCTAACTTGTTGAGACCAATGCACGCGAAACTTAAAAAAAAAAAAAAAAATTACAGACGAAATAGAATCAACTTATCTAGAATATTCTCTTAAATTAGAAAAACGTTTCCAATTTTTCTAAATACAGTATATAATTAGAAACAAGATTTGACGTTTTTTAAAGTTTTTCAAATAACACACTGCCTTTATCGATCTCCGTCATATATTCGATATCCGTTATATATTCTTACGTTTTATATAGGATTAAATTCATATGTATTTTTAGTGATATAACTTTAATTATTCACATTAACATATAACTGAATGAATAATTTATGTAATTTAATTACAAGAAAAAGCTATTTTAGCAAAGTCCAACGTGTATCGTTTACAATATGCAAGTTATCATATATTAAAATTATATCAATGTTTAAAAAAACAACGGTTTTTATCTTAATTATATAATTAAAAATAAACAATAATAATTTTCTCAGATAGATTTATGACTTTCAATGTTTAAATGTGCACATTTGTTACCGATAAACTCGTGCGCGTTTTCGCATATAATATAGCTTTTAATACGCTATTACAAATCCAATTTGGCTATGTAATTCTAACGAAAACTCGCGCAAAGTTCTCTGCGACCGCATGACGTCACGCAACGGCACTATTGACGACGTCTTACCTTATGATATTTTCATATTCTTTGTCTCTCCCTTTGGAATCACGCCAACGTCTATACATGACAGATGCATCCACGTTGGCAGGACTATATGTGTTGGGTTCGTTCAACAACGAGATCACCGATAGCAAGATAGTTCTGATACAAAAATCGATTAATCATCATAAGAGTTTCAGAAAGACTATAGCTCGTAGATAATTTTTTTTTGTTTTGCGATATTTACCTGACATTTTGCGTTGGATTCCACCTCTCGCATGGCAGCTCGCCGCTCTGTGGATCGTCTACGGGTGGATGCAGGATTGATATGCACAGGTCACCGTTCTGCACAGAAAAAGAAAGACCGTCAATATCGATTCTTTTAACATTTTTACCGCACGCCTTTTCTCCTCTTCGCAACCAATATTGCATCGGTCGCTTTGTTTCGTTACGCGACGAAACGAAACTCACGCATGTTATTTTCAGAAGTTTTTGCTCATCGCATTGTACACACGCTTGTTTACTCTCGTCGGATTTATATATACTGAACAACTGTTCAAGACCTAAGAGGACAAAAGACTAGCGCTTCGTCTTATTAAAAAGACATTCATGTATAATTTAATTTCTATTTAAATGTATTAAATTTATTATAATTTTTTTCGAAGAGAGAGATATTAAGAAGAGCCAAAATTCGACCTCAGTACTTCCACGTTCGTTGCCTCTAAAAAAACATTGTTACTCGAAGGACGTGGTACCTATCTTTTTGGTCATATATATACAGGAAAATCACCGAGAACATCGCGATTCACGTTAACAACTTGGAAACGAGAAGTCCGAGATGATCTCTAAAGCTGCAATTATACATGTTGACGCGTGAAAATCCTGTATAAAAAAATTAAAATATAAGACGTAAGCTGCGACGAAGAAATATACGAGAGAAAAGGAACTCTGCACACATTCAAAGCTTGTTAAAAAAAAAATCCGAGGTCTCTTCGCGCACGTTTCCTCATAAGATCGCCTCTATCTCTCCTGCGCGAAGACGTTCGGCAAGTAGGACAAGGCGCATCGTGGTTTCACCGTGGCTCGGCGCTTCGAACACCTCGTAATAAACCGCGAAGGCGAAGGCGAGCTCCTCGAGTAAACGCCCGGCACTTGACACGACCGGCAGCGATAGGCATCGCTGTGTTCGCGCATGTATATTTGTATGTAAGAGAGACCGAAAGACGCACGGAAGAATCGCGCTTATTGCAATCGGCGGAGCTCCGGATGCATCTAGAGAAAGACAAGAACACATAATCTATTTTTCCGAATTTTTATCTTCTTTTCTGGCATAAAAAAGTTTGAAAAAAAATATAAAATTGATTTATATTTAACTTGTACAAAATTTATTTAGATTTAATTTATACAAATTTATTTATATTTAATTTTCCATCTTTATATCTATTTTTATTACCGACTTGGAATCGCGCTATTTAATGATTTGATGTAAAATTACTTTCCATATAGTCTCTATGTACGAAGTTATATAGACAGTGTCTTATTCTTTGTCTGCATGCGATATTCCATACTATCTATATACATCGTCGACGATTGTTTGCGCATCGTCGCAGACCGAAGAAGATTCGCGTAATGTGGCGGCACTCACATACGTATAAATAATATGAATTTCACGACGGGGAAAGTTGGCCTGCGAGAAGAACGAATTGTATACGCGTTAAGGCGCTGTACATATCGTATATACCGGGTAACCTTTCTACAACGATCTGTTTCGATTGCGAAACACGCCTCTACATATCGAAGTAGATACTGTTTCCTCGAGGATTTGCGCAATGCGTAGATTGTCATCGAAATAAAATTTCGCGTGACGGGATAGAAAAAGCGAGATATAAGGCGCATAATTAATTTCCTTTGTATAATTGAGAGAGAGTTACTCCTTTACAGTCTGTCCCGTTGATCGCTGTATTTTCACTTCGCAGTTGATGCTTTATTATGATCACATTTCACGTATAAAGGATTGTAATTATATATTTATATATATATATATATATATATAGAATGTAATAGAACCAAATTTCACTAGGTATCTCTCGAACCTAAATGTATATTGATATATAGGAATATCAAATAGACGCCTCTTAGCGTCTTGAATATATTATAATACAATAATGGAAATAAGACTTTATAATAATATTGGTGCTTACGATGAATAATAATTACAGTTATGTAAGACCAAGCCGTTCGGCTTATCAATCGATTGGCAAACAGGTCAACCGTTTTGGGCTTTTGAATCGAGATAGGAGGAAGTTGATATACTAATGTAATACGCACAAAGCACAAGAAAATATACTCGAATAACATGTAAGAATCGAGCAAAGAATTTGCAATTTAACGATTTAAAGCATTCTTTACCGACAACTTATTTACAAACATTTCATTCGCGTTTGCATTTTCTTACAATATACGTCATCTATTTTATTTCGCTACTATGTATTCATATCATATATATGCGTGCTATAAGCATATTATATCTAGTATGTTATAGCTAGAGAGATACCGAGAGAGAAAATAATTTATCCGTAAACTCTAATATCTTCTCTTCGATGGGGCGGGGAACTTGAAAATAAAAATAAAAAAAAAAAAAGGTGCTCGCGTTTGCCTCGTTACTTATAACACGTTCCCGTTGTCGCCATCCCTATCGTCGACAGGCGAGTGGACACGGATGTCCACACGGGCTTTCGACGGTCATTGACTTCGCTTCGCTAGCCTCCGAAGGGTCATATACGGCGAACGGCGAGCAGGAGATGCGACAAACACAGCGAGCGAGGTCGATAAGCGTATGAGAATGCGATACTTCTGTTCTGTGCGAACGCAAAATGATACGATCGTTAATATACATCAAGAAGAAGAAGAACGCGGAAATAAATACATTCTCGCTCGACGATTATCTCGATCTCGAAAGAGAAATTTTCCTTTCTTTCGTCCGCGAAAGTTTGATACTTTAATCGCACTCGCGGGACAAGTTTTTTTTTCTTAACTTATTACTCTCTGTTCCCCAAAGATCTCATAAATGAAACTTCTTTCAAGAGACTTCTTTTTCCTTTTATAATCAACGTTTTATTTTAGATAACAAGCTATAGTCTCGCTACTATTTATTCCCCTATCAGCTGATTGTCATCTATATTATTTTTTTGAATTGTGTCTGTTTTATGTAATTAATATTTTACAGATGACAAGTCAGTCATCGCTAATATTTATTCCCCCATCAGCTGATTCTCAGTTGAATTTTTTTGTAATTGTTTCCATTTTATAATTAATATTTCATTTTACAGATGACAAACTAGTCTCGCTACTCCTGTCAGCTGATTGTCATCTGTACTATCATCTATTTTTTAATAATCATCTTAAAATATAATGTTAATTATAAAATGGAAACGTATCCCGAGAGAAATTTCATTCACGACATCTCGCATTATTTATTCTCCTATCAGTTGATAATACAGATGACAATCAGCTGATAGGAGAATAAATAATAGCGAGATTTAAACAGCGCGATACGGTACTCGTGTGTGCGTGTAGCAAACGATCGTCGTGCTTTCATACTTTTAAAGTGGTGAACAACGCACGACGATCGCTTCCTCGAAGGAAGTTCACGCGAGTTATCAGAGCGGTCGGACTCGTTCCTCGTTAAATCGTCCCGCGAATTCGCACGTCGGCGGATGTACGCGCAAAAGAACGGGAGAGAGAACCACGGAGGGTTTTACAAACGTCAAACATCCGCGACGTGACGATGCGAGTCCGCGAGAGTAAATATATATAGGATGGCGGCCGGACGTTCCGGGAACGTCAATATAAATGCAACCTCGTACGAGAAACTACTACGCAACGCGCAATTTTTCGAGTCGACTGTTTTTACTTTCTTTTTTTTTTTTTCGCCGTTCGCGTTTCGATGAGGAGGACCGGCCGGAGGGTTCGGACGACCCGGATGGTTTCACAAGCGCTGAAAGTGACGATGTAAAAGCTGATGGTTGTAAAAGCTATGGCGGCGGAGGGTGGAAGATAAAGAGAGGCGGACACAGACAGAACGGGACGGTCGTTATATGGTGAGAGGCGGGGTGAGAGACGGGATGAACGGAAAAGGGACGCAAGGGAAGGACACGCACGTATACACCACGGCGAGGAAAGGGTCGAAACAGGGAGAGGGAGATCGATAATTCCCGTATATATATTCACTCACCTCATATACATTCGGGTGCCAAACTTTTGTCATGAAACGAATGCTCGGTGGACTGTACGGATAATCCGGCGGGAACTTCATGTGTGCCTGGAACATAAAGAAAATCGAACGTCGGTCAATCATACACAACTCGGGACACCCACGCGTATATTGTATTATCCCGAGGATTGGGGAACCACCGTTGTAATCATTTCGTGTCGAGTTCAATATCCGCGACACACGTGCGAGAGAAAAAAAAAAGAGAAGAATATATGTATATATTACCTAGCCATTGTAACGAATCAAACGTGGGAAAACGGCTTCTGTCTCAAAATTCGAACCCGTCGAAATTATGCCGATTTTCATACCCGTCTATACGAGTCTTCAGAAAAACTGGTTCCTTTCATCGAACGAGTGCTCACGCTCCTCGTTATAATTTCAGGTATAAATTGTTAATCGAAGATGCGAAATACAAAGTGGAAAAATTGCGATGGACAACGTTCCCTTGCTTCTTCGCAAACGAGAAATGTTTACATTGATATAAAAAAGAGTGACAAAAAATCGATCGAATTAATGCGGTAGAAGCGAGCCGTTCTGCATAATCCACGAATAAAAACATCGGACTCTCTTCTCTTCGATGCTGCGAAAGTGGAGCAACATGGCCGTCTAGCGCGTAGCCGAGATAACAGAGGCGAGAGATGTAAAAGAGGAGATCGGGAACGCGACGTCGAGATGAGATTCGACATTTCGATCGGATTCAGAATCTCTCTCTCTCTCTCTCTTCTCTCTCTCTCTCTCTCTCTCTCTCCTGGATGCGGCCGCGACGATATCGATTTCCATTCCGAAAGGGGCGTCTGGTTGTTCGATGCAGGCTTCGCTGTCGGGACGCTATATTGATCGCGACCTGGTCATGGCCCAAATATCCACCTCGTCCTCCGGGATAACCGCGTTCCAGAATTAACCTACTTTCTACTGTGACTACACACTCACGGTGTCACGAAAATTCTACTCGAAATGGTCCACGTCCGCGAGCTAAGACGTCGTCGCTCCGAAATTTCGGTTACCCACGAGGCGATCTTTCTCTATTTTTTCTCGTCCAAATAGAGCGGAATAAACTGACGGTTCAATGCTGAAAGGAAAATTTTTTTTATTCTCTCGTACCCCCGGCGATCAATAATAAACGCCACTTTCGCTACGATTTTTTTTCTCCGCTTGAAAAATTAATTTATTCGTCTAGTAATTTTTATTTACCGATATATTCCAGTCAGCTCTGGATATGATGTGTAAAAGTAACGCATCGAGTTTTCCGATGCGATACCGCAATATCGATCACGACTATCAGCGCGCGATCTTGCACGACATTGTCATGATATTGGAATATTCTGAGAATTGTCCATAATGCGGGCTTTCTATTTTTACATAGAGATTTCTTAGGTCGAGGTTTCATATGTATATTACACGTGTACAAAAGTCGCTTTTTTTAGCGCAAGAAAGATCTCACGATTTTCAAGGATTGCTCCGACATGGAAGTATCACCTCGACGTCTTTCGTCTCAACTCCACCGTGTGACCTACAAATTTTCGCGACCTACTTTGACAATAAGCACTGCTGGTCATCGTAACGCGACGTTGTGTAACACGAGCTAGATGGCGACTTTTGAAACTATCGAATCGAGTCACGCCTGATCAATTTGATCGAACGTTTTCTTTTACAAACGAGACTGTCGCTCGAAAATTATTGTACGATAATTTAATTTAGAAATAATGTTGAAATACGTATTTTAAAGAAAGTATAATTGATTATCGCCTCTCTTGGCGATAGGTTATTATTATTAAAAAGTTTATCGAATCGAAGCGTATGTGACGATAAATCAGAGACTCACATACATATCAGTCTTTCGTTTAAAATCCGATTCATTGTGTTCAATTTCATTTATTCATCATACATTTTCATGAGTCGATAATTATGATAATTTAAAAATTCTTCGTTCTATTCATTTGAATATTATCACAAATAAAATTATATCTTACATATCTATAGCGACGTATAATCTGTAATTTGTAAAAATTTCTCAGTAAATATATATAATGAGAAATAAAATTCGGCTCGTGTAAAATTAAAATAAGTTATAAATTAAAAGGCCAACTTAACGAGCTGATTAATTAGGTGTTAACAATTTATTCTAAGTCATGAAAATAATACAAATGATAATTAGTAAACGTTTCGACTGTACGACAGTCTTTATCAATACAAATATCGCTTTGCTAACATATCATAAATCAAATAATTTGGAAAGACAGAACTTATATCATACATGTAAAATATATAGACTTATAAAATGAACAACGCAGTATAACACATTATAATTGTTGGCTTGAATTACGGCTGATCGTTTGAATTAGTCGTTCAAGAGCCTAACCCCGAACATCAGATTTCTGTAGTTCTTTTTAAATAAACGTCTAATTTTGTAATCCATAATGTAATAATGATATGTAATGAGCTGTGAAATAAATAATGTGTTAGCCTGAATATGGGATCTTTGATTTTTAAATAGATAGTGATCACTTACATCTATGTCGAGACGATAAAAATTCTTTAAAATTCTTGTTGAAAATTATAAACAATGTATACTTGTTGTAAATTACAATGTCATGCTGTATATATATAATTATTTGATTTATGGATATATGTTAGCAAAGCGATATTTGTATTGATAAAGACTGTCGTACAGTCAAAACGTTTACTAATTATCATTTGTATTATTTTCATGACTTAGAATAAATTGTTAACACCTAATTAATCAGCTCGTTAAGTTGGCTTTTTAATTTATAACTTATTTCTCAGTAACTTTATTTCACAATTTATGGGAATAAAAGAAAAAACGAAAATAACTTTTTTCTAGCAAATCAACATATATGTAAGGTATACAGAATGAGTTAAGAAATATATGAATAGCTAAAAAAATATCTTCTTTTATACGAGGCTTTATTTTCGAGTTTAAAATTGACTTTAAAACTTGGAAAATTAATAATGTATTTGCTCTGTAAACTTTTAAAATTCGAATAGCTTCTAATAACCTTGTGTCATATATTATCCAATTCGTCTCAATAACAATTATTACATAAATATTAAAGTTTAGTATTTAATAAAACGATTTAAGATATTAAGATATTACTGAAAGTGTGTAGTGTTACATAATTAAAAATTCAAGATACATTTTATTTTTCTACTAAGAATTTTAATCAATTTTCTCGAAAATGAAAAGATTTTATTTCTGCGACATTTTCGATATATTTTTGTACAAGAAATTACCTTCTTTTCTATCATATAAGAATATACGATTTACAGAGCAAACATTTTATCGAAATTATAGGAAGGAATAAAGAGGCAATCATGTTTCTTCTTATAATTTCTGCATCGGTTATCGATTTAGCAGTTGTATAATCGGCGAAAAATTCCTGATACTCGACCGCGCGCTCACCAAGTCTTCGCAAAGTGAAAGGATAAAGTCCGAGTCGCGTGAGACGTGGAAAATGACACGACGCGACGAAGTCGCCAACGACTTCAGATCGACTTTTCGTGCAGCGACGAGACGGATCGGCGCGCACGTTCGTCTTAAACGGAATGAGATTAGGTGAAAGTCGGTCTGGCCGTGCCGATCGGTAGGGTCTGCCTGCACCCAGGAATAGAATCGAGACAACGCGCGATGGCATTTTATGTAACTTGGCAAGCGGCGCGTTGCGCTCTTCGCCTTTTATCGCGAGCCGTGCATAAATTCTGGTCAAGGGGCTTTCTGATAAATAGAACGTGATCTCCTTGTAAAAACATATTACGATCGAACGAATATAAGAGCCAATCTCGCGCACAGTGCCATTAAAACGCGAAAATGAGAGATGATGCCGATGTCTTGGATGGGGTCGAGAGTCTATACCTACATACGTTAAACCTCGAACATATACATATATATACCTATATGATCGCAAAGAGAGTCCGAAAGCGGCTCTCGAAATTCCCCGTTTCACTTTAACAGAGGCAATGATCATTAAAAATGGATGAAGACGGCGTAATCCGATCAGATTGCGCGCATACACAATTCATTTATCGTTGCATTCGTATTGCCGGCACGCGTCGCGATGCAACGCTCTCTTCCGATTTTGATAAGCCTCGATTGCGTCACAGTTACGTTCACATAGCTATACAACGTTATCTATCAACTATAATTCATCCGTAATAAGGCTCGCGACAACAAAAAAATTAGCTCGCAATTCGAAGAATATATATTACGACATCTGATCTGCGAAAATTTTCGCAATGAAAAAATTTTTCTGGGAAATTGATCAGAGGGAGAAGCTATAAATAAGAGGGAATGTCCGAGAGAAGAAAGAGAGAATCGTCTCGTACTCTCTCGACAATACGCAGCTACGGAAAGTTATTCATTCACGAAGGTATACTTCAAACGCGGCATAAGATGAAAGCGATTGTTTACCTGAGCGCATCACGACTGCGCGAGCAACCACCGGTTAAGGGATAACGCGATTACGGTATAAAGCGTGGATTAACGGATTAATCCACGGCGGTGGACGCAGTCTTTCGAAATATAACCCACATGTAAAATTGCGCGGAGAAGCAATTTCACATGTACATATATACGCGCGGTTTTACAAGAAACACGCGCGACGCTCGTTACCAGTGGTTACGTTGTGGGAAGATACATTGCGTTACGTGAATAGGCGTTCACTCGCGTTCACGACGAGGCAGAGAGTGGTTTAGAAAGCGGACACTTAGACAGGACATGCAAAACAAAAACTCTACGGCAATGGCAGAAAACTGCTCATTCCGCTGCCCGTGTCAGTTTAACCTGGTCGGTTTAAAAACCTCGTTTCCTCCTTGTTTGCCACATGACGTCAGAAAAATTACGCCAAACTTTTTTCTCCTTTTCTCCTACCACGATATGCAAATCTTCGAGCGTGACTGTACACGATTCAATTTAAAGCTTCGAAATTTGTCGAATTATTACGTCGTTTGATCTCCAATTTCGTCAGATGTTACTGCGCGGAAGAATAAAATTTAAGTCGAACGAACGAGAGAGAAACGGGAAAATATATCTATTGCCAACAATTGTCACTTCGCCGGTCAAGGTAGTCTCAATGACTTCGCGTTTTGTGATTGTCACGATTCTCTCTTGTCAGAGGAATGCCAAAGTTTCCGAGATGAACATTGAAAAGCTCAAGGATGACAAACGAGTTTGCTCGACCATACGCGGCGAACTCGAAATTCCGCATTGTGAGAAAGTATTAGGCGATAATAAAACTCTATTCTATTCTTTGCCTTATCGTCGAGATGTTGGACGCAGATAACTATTGTCGCCAACTATTCGAATACCCTATTAAGATAATGATAAAATCGTCGATGATTAGATAACTAGATAAAGTTGATATAATTATTGGCGATAACTGTAATTATTATCTTAATAGGACATAATTATGTATATGCAAGCAAATTTGTTATATTACAAAACTGTCATACATCTTGTAGCGATCTATATTCACAAGACTTCGAACCTCCATGAATAGATGGGTAAATAGCTTTTTTTAGAAGTACGTAGGCATCTGATTTTCGATAGGATGCAAAGTAATGTATCGATCCAATTTATTTTAAGAATTTGCATCGTTTAACTACGATTTATGTCATCGATTTACGGGAGATCATTGAAAATGTAAATATAATTAGTGAACTTTGTCCTCTCTTGCCTTTTTGCTCGATAATCGAGCAAAAATACGTAGTATATTTCGAGTCGGATATGTCATTTATCACGATAAATATCGTACGTAAGCGTTGCGGATCGGAAATAGCGTCATTTCACCTCGAACACTGTATGAATTTGCTGGCAAACCGGAACGATGGTCAATAATATCGAGTCACATTATGCGCGAGGTTAAAGCGCATACTTGCGTTATTCGCGTTTTATCGTGAGAAAACTGAAATATAAAATCGCGTCACGCAACATTTTTAAAAGCCACCAGAGCTCGTGCTCCTTTGTTTACGTACTTTCCGCGATAAGGAGAGTGTCGTTTCTCTCTCTCTCTCTCTCTTTCTCCCGTAATAAAATAGGTACACCGACCGATATAATATTCTCGATGCTCGTCGTTGAAATCGACAAAGTCTTTTTATATCCATATTCCGTTACGAAGGAGAGAGAAACGGGAACGGCTGGTCGTAAGCCGACATAACCAAGAACGACGTCGATACCCTTGGTAAATACACACGCGAAACAATACAGATAAAGCTTGTAAACAGCAGTGGACGGTACCTTGAAATATCCGCCTTGGTAGAGAGTATCGGGCGGGCCGAAGATCGCGACTTCCCACTCGAACATGTTGTCCTCGTTGACCAGCTTGACGCGGAAGCCCTCGACGGGCTCCTCCTGCAGGCTCTTGTATTCCAGGGCGAGCGCTCGTAGCGCGCTACTCGTCGGTTGTGCCATGTTTTCTCTTCGATCTATCCTTCCGCGAGCGGGCGAGAACGTCCCGATTGCTGTCGCGTCGAAGGGAAAACCGTCGAAAACGTGCACCTGCTGATCTCTTGTTCGGGACGGGGCCTCTCCTGTATTAAAGCGTGACTCCGTAGTAACGGAGGCGAGCACGAGCCCCCGCACACAGACACCCGCGCATACACCGAATGCACTACACGATACAAGTGCACACTACTGCGCACACACACACACACACACACACACACGCACGCACACGATACACGGAGGCGCGCGCGTTTCGCGATTCCTTCGTCGCACGCAGAATCGTCGTCACGCAGTCTTTCTCACGCGCGCGTACACGACGAACAAAGGAACAGCGCGTCGGTTTACCGTGCAACGACGCAAGTTGCGCGAGAGAAGGATGCCCCACCAAGTCAACGATACAACACCATTCCTGACGCTCCGACGGACGCACGCACGTCTCCTCGCCGAGAGCTCTAACAAAACAGCTGACGTACTCCCTGCGTCAGCGAGCTGCCCGACTGGCGCGCATGCGCGCCGAACGCTTCGGATAGAGTCGCTCGATTTAAACGCCGACTTTCTTACGGAGCGCGCCCCGCGACGCTGCCCTCTTTCTGGGAAAGCGACTCCGATACGTGTCGATTCGATCTGTATGGAGCGAGAGGGAAATCAAATATTTTCGTTACGAGAAACTCGATGCATTTTTTATACGGACGAGAAAAATATTTAATAAATATGTATTATAATATTTTTGCAACACATTATTATGATTTATTTCGTTACGTCATTCGATGTTAAAATTTCAATTTTTTTCTGAATATACTTGACAACTGTATGAGTGTAAAAAAAAATTAATTGGTATTATATTAATTTAATTAAATACTGAAACTACCTTAAAATGGCGGCTCGAGAGAATCGGTTCGAGTGACTCTACTACTGGCCGAGCAGCAGCCCATTTTCATTACCCTGCACGTGGTCGCTTCGAGAATCTTCTTCGATAATATTAGAACGTTCACCTCGCGGATGACGAAGACGAATGGAGCGTTTTCATAATCCTCGGATGTAGAATGTCCTCGGATGAAGAAATGATTGGTTGGAATCGTCAATAAAACCAGCCATTGACGCAGCAGATAGAATAATTCAGTCATAGAGCTTAGATACCTAGATGTTCCATCTCTCCCATATTTCATGAATGTACGTCAACGTTTAATAACCAATAGGAGAGTTGATTTTCTGGGGACGAAAATGTCCCTAGTTAAAATTCGTACTTACGAACGTTCAAACTGTCGAACACATCGGAGTAATGTGAATCCTCCGTTAGGTTAGAAGATAAGACATTTACACCGCCACTCTTACACACATTACACTTACATAAACTCAAACAAATAAATAAAGCTCAATTCTAACTTAAAAGATAATCTGGCAGCCTGAAACCACGAACATAAAACTATGCGTTTCATTGTCATAAAGAAAGGAAAAGAAGAAGGTTAGAAGATAAGAAAAAGTGACATATGATGTTCTAACCTCTGATCAATATTTATAAAATTAACCTCATAAAACCGATTACGTAACGTGTCACTCGAGAATAGATGTAATAAACATTTCTTACTTCCTTATTTTGAAGATTAGAAACTGAACTTTATTTGAAAGAATAATCGTTGATTTTTCTTCATTTATTTTTCAAGCTTTAGATTTATCTCATGTTTTAACCGTTTTCTCATTAATGCACTTTTTTTCTTTCAAGCCTAAAGATATATATTTATTTTGCAATGTAATAATTGTAAAGAGTATTAAAAAACACGTGAAGTTTTATAGCGTAAGTCTTTAATGAAGGATCCTACATTGTAAACACTAAATAATTCATGAGATGTATTATTTTGAATGCTACATTGGAGAAAAATAACTTAATTATTGAAAATATCAATTGACATTTTAATTCGGATATAGCACATTCTGTGTTGTCAGAAGGATTATTTCATGTCTTATTGCTTATCCAAAGATATTATTTTTCATAAATAATAATTCGAAATCGTCCAGTTAATAAATAAAACATGAGTATGGAAAAAAAATTTAATCTTCATTTTGAATTTATTGATACATTGTCTTTATGTAAAAATGATCAGAAGATTCTCTCAAGCAAATAATTACTTTTTTATCTATATATTTATATATGATTGATATATGATGACATATAATTTTTTATATTCCTCATCAAAGTATATATATAGTAGGAGAAGCATCTCTTCTCGAGCGTGTTTTATGTAAGACGTGCCAGTTCGATTTTGGCTGTGTATAGCAAACGTAGTGTAGAGTAGTGTCATCTTCATTTCATTCAAAGTGATATTTTTTAAAACGCGTCTAAACGCAAAAAAATGGCTGAAATAAGTCCAGAAGCACTTAAACTATTTAGATTTTGGGGTACCATATTGGCTCTAAAAGTGTTGGCTATGCTACCGTTGACTGCGCAACAACGATTTGGAAAAAAAGTAAATATATATAATAGAAAAATCTCTTTTCTGAGAATTATTTTTGATTATATATTCTTATTTAGTTTTGATTATTACTTTTACTTAATAAAATTTTTAATAAGTTTGCGATAAACTGTATCACTATGTTACTCTTTTTTTCTTAGGAAAAATTTAATAAAAAGAAATTAATATTAAAGATTACATATATTAATGATTAAAAAAACTATATCTTTTTAGAAAAGAATAAAAATTTATATAATTCTAAAAATGTAGTATAAATATATTTTCGAGCTTTTTTCTTAATTTAATTAAAGAAACAAATCATATCAAATATTTTGTTTTAAAAGTTTATGAATGTTAAATTCCATTACACAGAATAAAATTGACTTGTGATAATTGTTTCAGATATATATGAATGAAGAAGATGTCACATTTTTAGGCAAAGGCAAAGTGGTACTCAATGATCCAGATGTGGAACGTGTACGAAAGGCACACCGAAACGATCTGGAGAATATTCTGCCATGGTTTATGATTACATATCTATGGTTAAGTACTGGACCTTCTCTATGGTTGGCTAATGCATTGATGCGAACATTTGTAATTGCCCGAATAATTTATACCATTTCATACCTTGTTATTAAGAAACAACCTATAAGATTTTTAGTTTTCTTTGTAGGATATGGAATTACACTATATCAAGCGTTTTCCACATTGTTATATTATTCCTAATTTTATATAGAAAGATCACTGTTGATAAAATTTTATATTACGTATTAATTATTAAGATGCTTATTGAGCATGATAATAATAGGAGCATTTACAATAAGGATGTTCAGAAATATATGATAATATATATTATTAGCATTTGATAAAATTCTCATTTTTTTAAATATTTTACATTCCTCCAAAATATATTTTATAGAAATATAATATTGTTCTTATATAAAGAGTTATATGTACATAGAAAATCAAATTGAACGTATACTACTATTTCTTTATAAAATGAAAAAAATTTATATTTTTTTCAAGCTTGTTTGCGTAAAAATATTAAAAGACGTCATACATTAATTCACGTCTCTTAATTCTTATTTCCCTTTTATTATATACTCCCCATACTTGAACCGATCATTTTTTTTCCTAAAAATCTGACATGAATCTCCATATATTTGCATTTATGCAAATGATATTTTCATTTATATTTTACGTCAGTGCTCGGAATTAGTTGCTCTTTTCGAGCCGATTTCGCGAGCGACGGGGTGGATCTCCCCACTACCGTCGAGGCTCGACGGCGGAGTCGTCGTTACTCCGGGCAACGCTATATCTCAGGAGCGTCGCTAAACATGTTAAGTTGTACCTTCCGCCAAATCGTCATTATTATTACATAATTTATATTTTTGTTAAATAATAACTAAATATTAAGTTAATATTAAGTTAATATTCAGTTATTATTTAACAAAAATATAAATTATGTAATAATAATGACGATTTGGCGGAAGGTACAACTTAACATGTTTAGCGACGCTCCTGAGATATAGCGTTGCCCGGAGTAACGACGACTCCGCCGTCGAGCCTCGACGGTAGTGGGGAGATCTACCCGTCGCTCGCGAAATCGGCTCGAAAAGAGCAACTAATTCCGAGCACTGTTTTACGTAATGATGCAATATAAATTGAAAAAACTATATATCCGCGTAATATTTGCATAGGTAACTGAGCCGCGCACGCGTCTTAACGCATCTTGAAGGCGCATACGCGAACTCCGTCATATCCCGTCGTCATGACGGCGGCACCGCGACGCCGACAAACGCGGGAATGTCAGACGTCGCGACGCGTCTGTGACGTGTAGTCGTCGTCGTCGTCGTCGTTGGTGCCGCGGCGTTCTTTAACGATCGAACATGCCTTGATCCGCACTTCAGCCGCGTTAAATCGCGGGATTCTCGTCGGCTCTCGCGATCTGTCGAATTGCAGTATGCAGAATTGCAGATGCTCGCGAAAATCCAGAATCGCGCTAGAAATTCGGTCTTCTTCCGCGAGGATCGATATCTGAACCGCGGAGCGATCAAGAGATACGATCATTAGGTAAGCGCATAACATTCTTATCAGAAGTAATAAAAGATGCAAAAAATTTAAGATGCACTAAACATAAAACAACATCTTTGCAATTTGACAAGCACATAATTATTATATATATATCTATTATTTTTTGAAAATTAGATAAATATATATATACCATATATATTTTGTATAAATTAGATATATCAATATGCTTTTTATTTTTTATTTCGTATAATTTTTTTCGTCTAATTGCGTCATATTTTTTTATATACTATTTTTGTCGTGTATATTGCTATATATATACATGCATAGAAGCGCATTGTGTTTAAAATAAGCAGAGCTCATGCGTCTAGCGGTTGAATAACGTAAGAGAAATTCCTTATCTTATATCCATGCAATTTTCTCCTTTGTTCCGACGACAAACACGGATACCCGAGATACACGCGAATAGAATCAAGCACAGGCAGGTCATTCCCTGCACCTGCACCTCAATTTCTGTGAGGATCAAGCCTTTTTCTTTTAGTCTGAATAGAAAAGCCAGCTGAACGATTCTTTCTCACGTGCAACGATTTGCATAGCATGGTATAGGAGCATGTCTTATGGAAGATTGGAATAAGTTTTCAGCTTCTTTATACCGATAATTTCTTGAAAGATTTGCGATTAAATGCATTTTTCTTAATCATTTTTTCTACATCTATATTATTAATTTATTTAATTTAATGTAACGTAGTTAATTTTGTTTTAATAAGTAAGATTAAAATTTATCTTAGGAAAGAAAATATTTTCATTTATAGAAAGTTCAAATTATGTGTGATTATATATTATTATATATATATTTCAATATTATTGAATTTTAGAACTATATATTATTTGTAGTTTTACATATTTATATAACTTTTAATTTATATATTATATATACACAATTAATACATATAATCCACATTAAATTAATTCCTTAAACCAACAAGAAGTTTTCGATGCATCGAGGAGCTGAAACATTTTCCGGCGCCAGTGATATCATAACGTGTTCGTCAACGGTGTATCAATGTTTGTCTACTTTCCGGGGCTTTAGACCTTTAATGAAATTTTCTCACGAACCCGGTACACACTCTTGAATATATGTAGAAAAATTTCTTATTGTTAGTAGTTTTAATTAAAAATCCTTATATTTCACGGAAATATTAATTGCGCAATTAATTAACATTTCTATGGATGCATAAATATTTATTGCTTCGCAATAAAAACTTTTGAAAGTTTATCGCACAAAATCTTACATATCGTGTGAAATATATATATAATACTTTGTTAACGTTGTAAAATTATAAGGCACACTTATCGCTCTCTATTCGTTTGAAACAAATAGACAAATTTCTCCATTGTTTCATCGATACTGTCCGTGGTAACCACATCTAGGATATATAGATTGCTCATTAAGTGCAAGCATGCGAACGTCAATAGTTTACATCTGCATTACTCCATAGATGCACACATCTTTTTGAAGAAGACGTTTCATGCGCGCGATCGGTTTATTAGACCATGAAATTTATGTTTTCCATAAAGTCTTAATTAATGTTAGTAATATAAGCTGAAAGATGGTTTGTTATTAATGTTTATGAGTCAGTTTTTATATTTTTATTTTATGCGCAAAGGATAGCGATGATAGTGATGAATGTACATATCGCAGAATTATTTTTAACTTCACCTCGGCGAAATAAAAAAACGTGTGACCTTTTTATAATACGATCTTTTTATACATTACAAAAAAAAGAATTTTTTGCTTCATAATATCTCAATTAATTTTTTTTAAAAAAAAAGAGCGACGTTTCGCAGAAAAGCTAAGCTTTACGCGATCCGTGGTATATAAACTGTAATTGCCGCGGTCATTCCATTGTGTTTGTATAAAGGCTATGTGAATACTTTATTGAATATCGCAAATATTAATTAATTGGTGACGTTAGCCTGTACAGGCGGTATGCACGTGATTACAAAGCGGCATATCGACCACCGGTGCCGGTCCCTAAAGGCAGTTTAAACGCAAGGGACCATAAGCGTTCACCCGGTGCATGCCTGCGGCGCACGGCAGAGATGCACGCGGTGCATCGTCCTGCATGTGTGTGTGTGCGTGTGTGTATGCGCGCGCGGTTATCGATAATCGTGTCAATTTTCCGTGTCGCGTGGTCACGCCTTACACGTGCGTGCCATCCGAAATTGCATTTCTCTGTATCGGCTGTCACGGCAAACGATGCCGCGCCGGTGGCTGCGATTCAATTTGCGTCGGGATTAGTAGCAAGATTCTAATCACGTTTGTGAGGCTGGATCACGAGGCGCTTTCACTCTGCTAAGCGCATACGTATGTTGGATGGACAGTAGGGCCAAACAAATTCGCTTCTCGCTTGACAAAGCCGGACGAGCTGTTCTACATTTTTTCTTCTTCGTAAACTCATCGTCAGTGTTAACTGTCTAATTGCTATAATCAAAATTCTCGAAATAAAATTATATTTTCTAATGCATAATAGTAGAAATTTCTCTTAGAATTTATCCCAAAAATCATGGTAATCGTGGGACAATAATCAAATTAATCGAATATATTTTCATATTTTATTATGGTAGATATTAATATTTTTTAGTGTAGTAAAAATATAAATCAGAGAAACTCTTATAAAATTCTTTCAATATCATATTGTCCTAAGATTACCATGATTTTCAGAGTATAAATTCTAAGAGAAAATTCTCTCCGTGTAGAAAAATGATTACTAAATCGAGTTTACTGATAACAGAACATAAATCGAGCATCACTGTCGATGTTTATGTTTTAAGCTCTGTTTTTTAGTGTCACGACTGTATATATGTAACGTGAATACATGCTCTTTTGTCGTAGTACATATATACAAGTGCACGAGAAACATCGCGCATTTGGCTCGGAGTTATTCTCAGATATTTATCGCTATATTAAGTATTCCTCGCGGAGAGACTTTCAGAAGCGCGCCTCGATAGAGAAACGAAACGGCTCGTGACATCATAGGCTGCAAATGCAAACACATTCACGATTTATCCCTGCCCAACCCAGACGACCCCGATGCGATGATATTCGTTTGTCCGTTTATGGCATTCGTGTGTAAATCGGGACGCGGGCGAAAATATCGTACTTGAAAGCCCTGATACGAGCCTTGAAGGCTTGGTCATCAAACACCGAGGGATTGGAATAAATAAAAAAAATTATTAAATTTCGTTCGCCAGAAATGAAATACTAAGGTAGTAGATATTAAACTGACTACACTGGCTGTCTATTAGATTTGTTAAACTATATTTATTAACGTTTCGACCATACGGGTTGTGGTCCTTTTCAAAATTACAATAGAAGCATTCTAGAAATTAATGTACATGCAATCAGAATCAACATTTAAATTGAAAACGTGAAATGTAACAAATGAGATTTACAATGAGTTACTGCATATCGTTATTGACATTTAAAAGTACGCTCCGGTGAGACTTAACTTAAGATCGGATGGTAAATTAACTGCGTTTCACTTGTGTCATCTTGCCACGACTGAGCACACTGTACTAACGAATAGACACGCCGAAAATTATGTCAAAGTTAAAAGTTAACAATATTTACATTCTCGCTAAATTGTGATGTACCATATGGCAAATTACTAAAATAAAATATAAAAATAAAAAATAAAATATAAAAAGTATAAGATAATAAAAAGATAAATAAATAAATAAATAGATATATTCGGTTCGCTTATGTCATCCTGCCTTAACATACCAATAATAAACTACTAATAATAGCTCCCAACAATGT